GGTAAACGATGGCTGTGGCTGCCTTCTAGGGAACTGCAGGGGAATTGTCTTCTGGGTTCTGGGGGGAAGGGATGTGATTTTAAAATAGCTACAGGTATCGGTGTGGCTGCAATAAGCTGGTTTAGCTAACAGAAGATTGAGGCAGTTGGGAGTAGACCTCACGGGCTGTTTGACTGTGGTTAAATTCGGTAACCCGAAACGTGCGAGGGAACCCTTGTCCACACCGAAGGATGGGCCACGTCGGTGCACCCTGGGGGGCACTGCCATTCAAAACACGCCTTGGTCTTTCTACCCCCCTTCATAAAGTCAGACCCCTGGCTGCTGGCAGAGAGTTACAATCTTGTGAATGAACTTTTGGGTTTAGGCTTCTGTTAGAACTGTTACACCCTCTTTCAGAACCGTCTCCTTCGACAAGCCCGAAGCTTTGAAAATCACCTGAATGCCAGCACGTGCTTTATTAATTTAAAGACATTTGATTAAAAAAAAAAAAATCAGGTGTAGGCTGAGAATGGGACTAAGTGGGTTCTATTTTTTTCCGTCCCCAAGAGAGATGTGCCCGAGAACAAGGACATGTAATAAAAATGGCTTTTCAAGAGAGATTGGCAGATGACAGTGATACGGTGGGTCTGCAAGTGCACACCTGGGCTTTAACGTGACTGGAAGCAACAGCACCCCAGTTGGAGAGGGGCTGTTCAGAGTGAAAACCCCAATCCAGCAGCCTGCAGATAAGCTGCTTTTTTGCAGCCTGTGTGCAGATCGTCGATTAAGGAAACAGATGTAGAAATTTGTATGCACAACCAGAATTAATTACTTTCAGCGCAGTGAATTCTTGTGTTGGAGAGCTGTAGTTTGTCTTCATCTCCACATGAAAGGGGTTTATTCTGCAGCTTATCAAGTATGGGCAGCTTGATTTTTAACTGTCAGATAAATCTATTTATTGCGTGGCAAGCGAGTAAGTCATTGACGGTTTAACTGAGGACAGTGAAGGGAGTTGGAAAGGAAAAGGGGTAACGGCAAAGCATTCCTACGTAGTTGTCCCCTGCGTACTCAGATCCTGGTCTTATCCTGCATCTCGCTGGAAGTGCTCCCGTGGATGTGGACGTAAGTAAAGGTAAAGCCCACCCGCACGTGCGGCAGCGCGGAGGCTGGAGCGGCCGCGAGGTGGAAAGCCCCATCACCTGTTTCCCGGGCTCACTCTGCCTGGTTTTGTTTGCCATGTGCCACCGGTGGCTCAGATTCGGGGGCATAAACAAGGGAGATGCCTTAGAACGAACCCTGTTCTCTGCCCTGCGTAACAGGAAGGACTGGAGCCTGGTCGGGGAGACCTAGGAAACAGGACCAGGCTGAACCTAGCACTTCAGCTCTGCAGTGAGTTAGAAGAGGCCTGTGAAAATGCTGAGACCTAATTTGGAAAAAAGAAAAGATGAGGAATTGGTGGCTGAAGCATGTCCTGCTGGGTAGTAGCCAGGAGTGGTCATGCTTCCCTTCACCCCGCTCCTTGCGTATTAATTTTGATTTATGTGACGTTTCCCTGTCTGCCTTAAAGGAATAAAGGAGCTTTAATTTTTTTCCAATTCCTCCCCCTGTCTCTCTTCCCTAAAGATTTTAATAGCCTTGCACCTACGCGTGTCTCCCCCCTGTTCTGCGCTTCGCACAAGCTAATGTCCTTAAGACTCTCAAGCATTCCCCAAATGAGGAATTTTGTCCTCATCTTTCTTTTGGAAAAGAAACAAACAAAAATCCCCACAAAATAAAAAACCCTCAAAACCCCCTTTGGGTACTTTTCCATGCCCTGGCAAACCCTTTACCTTGTCTGTGTGGCAGCTCATGTTTGAAACCCTGAGCACCCTGTGTGTGTCCGAGCACAGGTCCAGCCCTGGCTGCCCTCCTCTCCCACTGCCCCAAATCCTGGCAGAATCCCGAAAAGAAACAAACAAAAATCCCCACAAAATAAAAAACCCTCAAAACCCCCTTTGGGTACTTTTCCATGCCCTGGCAAACCCTTTACCTTGTCTGTGTGGCAGCTCATGTTTGAAACCCTGAGCACCCTGTGTGTGTCCGAGCACAGGTCCAGCCCTGGCTGCCCTCCTCTCCCACTGCCCCAAATCCTGGCAGAATCCCGCCTTCCCCAGCGGGATGCAGCAGCCCTCGGCACTCCCTGCGGGGACGCTTATTCCCCCTTCTCCCTTCAGAGGAGGCAAACTGCTGTTTGTCGCGGAGCTCGGCAGCTTCCCTAAGCCCGAGACCTCTCCAAGGGACACGTTGGAGCCTCCTCTCCCGCAGGTCGTGGCTTGGAGGCGGCTGCTCCTGTTGAGGACGTGTTCACCGCGAGCGGGACGAGTCAGTGCAGTGACGGCGCTCGTGCTCCGTCTCCTAAACCGTCGTCGCCGTGTGCAGTCAGCGGTTCTCTTTGCTGGGAAATAGGAAGAAATCAATCCTAAAACCACGAGTAGATGTCTTTTCTTCTTAACGAGGTTATTAACACCAAAACTGGCACTGGGCACCGGGGAGGTACAGATAAAGAAGATCCCATCCTGTGGTCCCCCATAGCTCCTGTTTGCCTTCGTTTTCTCTTGTGACTCTGTAAATTCCAATGGTTTCTGGGTCCTGAGACACCTAATCGAATTAGTTGCTTCAAATATAAATAGATGCAGAAACGCCTAACGTTGGAAACATTCTGTTCTGCAGAATGACTTCAGTTTGGGGGTGAAATAGTAGACACGAGTGTCTGACGGAAGCCTGAAGTAGAGTTCTGTCCGTGTAAACCACAGATGAGCGGATGAGAGTTTGGGGCCTGAGGAGAAGCTGCCGTACCTCAAAGAAAATCCGTTCTTTTTGTAAATCTCATTTTAGCCTCTTTAGTTCCAGGCGACACAGACTTGGTTTAGTGTTTCTTTATCTTCGGTTTTGGTGAAGTATCAGTAACGAGTCTCTCAAATGTGAATCTCTCTGCAGAAAGACTTCAGGGTCCAAGAACTCCCTCTGGCTCGCATTAAGAAGATAATGAAACTAGATGAGGATGTGAAGGTACGCTCCTGGGGTCTTCCTTACGTGTTTGCGATCCTTTTGGTGGCTGTTGCGGCCGTAATTCCCCACAATTCCTTACTTACTATTACCATTATTACTATTTTTCAGGCACACTTCCACAGTTGCCCCGAACGCAGTATTACCTGGTTTTGTGTAATTAAACTGAGCTGGGAAGGCAAGATCGTTTGGGCTCCTTGCTGGAGACTCTTGCGTTTTGCTTTCTTCCGGGAAACACCAGTCTGCTGATGAATTCTGTGCTTTTCCTGTTTTTTCCATTTCTTAACTGTTTTTTGTCCTGTTTCCTCCTGGTTTCTCTCTACTCTTCCTTTCCCAAAGCTGTGGAGCGTTTAGCACAAAGAGCGATCTCACGTAGATGCGTGCTACGCTGGCTCAAGTTTCCTGGAAATGCATAAGTAGTAACTGGGGTGGGTAGCAGGGGTGCGCTACCCGTGTCTGAGCTGAGCCCGCGACGTGCGTCTGACGACGGCGACGCGTGACTTGACTGATGAAAACTTACTGACCTCGAAGGGTGGAGGAAAGAATCGCCTGCAGGGCTTGACTCTGGGGCTGCTGCCGTCCTCCCTGGTTTTTAAGTTGGAAAACTGTCAGCCACTTCACTGCTCAGAGGAAAAAGAAGGGTTTGCACTTTCTTCTTCGTGTGACACCTTGGTTGTTAGGGCAACCTTTAACATTTAAATGAGGTCCTGAGAAAGGTGTGTATGTGTGTGTCTCCCTCTCCAAGGGAGCTGTTCATTCGGCCTGGAAGGGGAATGAGTCCAGGTTTCTGGTCCCAGGTCAGTGTCTGAACCCAGTGAGTGCCAAATTGATTAGGAAGGGAAAGGTGAGCTTTTTAATGCCGGAGAAGTCTTTGGCCTGCCTGGAACATTATTGAACAAGAAGGCTGTACCCAGAAGGAAGCCATAATGCCAAGTCAGCTAATAAGAAACTGCTTAATTTGAGTAAAACTTGAACTAGATACTTTTTAAGGAAGAGGAATTTGGTGATGCAGTGTCTTTATTCAGGCCTCCAAACCTCTTTTGCCATTTCAGCACTCACTGAAAATTATATAAATGTTCCAACTCTAAAGAAAGGGCCTGGCTTTCAAACGAGCCCTCAACCTGTCCTCTGGGTTTCTGAGTCGGTGCTTGTGCCAAGGCACTGCCTGGGGACGCTGGTGGAATGTGCACTGCTGCCATTGGCTGGCCTGCTGTCATCCAGCACCGGATGGAGTTGACATCGGCCTAGTCATGGCGGAAGGAGAATTATCATAGAGGCACAGAATGGTTTGGGTTGGAAGAGACCTTAAAAGGTCTCTTTTTGACCCATGTGTAGGGACACCTTCTACTAGCCCAGGTTGCTCCAAGCCTCATCCAGCCTGGCCTTGGACACTCCCAGGGATGGGGCATCCCCAGCTCCTCTGGGCAACCTGTTCTAGCCCCTCCCCACCCTCTGCAGGACATATTTTAGATTTTTTTAGATTTTAATACTGCGTTAACCCGAGGCTGGTAACTCCTTGGGCTTGGCTGGCCAGATGCCCTGTCAGACCCACAGATACTCTGACGTGGAAATTCTCCCGACCTCGCTGTTAATCCGCGCAGCCCTTTGGGTGGGTTTGGCCAACGCAACACAGTTCCTCTGGCCACCCCTCGGCAGGATGAAATGCTGTGGGTACACTGTAACGAAATTGTCCGTTTAATCGCAGATGATTAGTGCGGAAGCTCCCGTGTTGTTCGCCAAAGCAGCTCAGATCTTCATAGCAGAACTGACTCTGCGAGCCTGGATACACACAGAGGATAACAAGCGCAGGACTCTGCAGGTAACGCTGCTCCTACCTTCCCTTCATCTGTTTCCCAAGCTGCTCCCAGCTCTCTGTTTCCATAACGCAAGGCGTGTTTTGTAGACAGTAACTTTAGTACCCGTGTTTATTGCTACAGACCTGTGTACAAAGCCCAGCGGAACGGTGACTGAAATGCTTTTTTCTTAAGTGGTTTGTAAAAATAACAACGAAACCCTCACAAGTGCTGACCGAGGCCTGTCGTGATGGCTCGGAGGGATCTGATACTTCAGAATCATATTTAAATCCTGATCCTAACATATCAGACCTTGACCTGGCTCCGTTTTTATGTCCGAGTGCCTTGCCTTCTGCAGCTGCTGCCGGCCTGGAGCAGCTGCTCTCCGCGTGGACGGTGCGGCTGGAGAAGCATTCAAGAAGAAAATTTCCAGACGAGAGGTCAGAGTTAGGGAAGCCTGTTCCTGAGGACATTGGATTTACCCAATCCTCAGCGTGGAGAATAAAATACGAGATAAATCTGTTGGGTAAACTTTTTCTTCCTGGTGCAGATACTTTACCATATACGCTGCCTGCACAACACAGGAAACATCTCCCTCTGCTTGCTCCGTGATCCTATTTGGCCATTAAACGCCAAGAAAACGCAAGGTTTCAAAGTGCCAGTTGGCCTGCAGTGAGAGGATTGGTTGTCTTTTAGATGTTACCTGCTCGTTAGGCAGCGTGGGCATCTTTGTCTCCAGTCTTGCTCGTGTCTGTGCTTTATCTTCAGCTACAGAGAATGAGGCCTTCAGTGGCTTCTGGAGTCAGCCCCACTTTTCAAGATGGCTTCCAGGAATTTAAAAGGACAGTGATTTTGGTTTGGGGTTGGCTTATTTTGTTGTTGTTTTTTTGATTTAAAGAAATCAGGTTTTTTTAATCTGGGTGTTGTTTCAGGTTTTAAGCAAATACATTTCAGTGGTGACTTACTGCTGGGTAACTCTATTCAGATCTTTAATGCTTTAACCTTTGGATTTCTTTTTTTAGGCAAAGCATAAAAGTAAAGTTAGAAGCTATTTTGAGAAGATACTTACCTTGCCAGTTTTTCATAGCAGCTCCTTGGCTCTCATGCATCCTTTTTCTGATACGTGTTGGGCCAGTTTGCTGAGTGTATGCTTTAATCTCCATACTTTCCTTTACCCTTTTTGCCCTTCCACATGCTGCAGCTTGTTCCCTCCACATCTCCTGGGATTCCTCTGCCCTGGATAAGATCCTCTGACAGTATTATTTTTTTCTTTGTTTTAAATCCCATCCCCAACTCACAGATTTTTACAGGTGTTGCTACTGATACACGGAGCAGTCACCCTGGTCTTTCTGCAAGGCTTCCTCTCGGAGATCTTTGGGATTTTTAAGTTGTGGGGGGTTCTTTAGAAGAATTCCCCTTTTTTAATATGCTAAAAGGTGGTTGTCAGGAGCTCACTGTAATGATTCACATTGTGCAGAGCCTAATTATGCCTGGAGGGTGAGTAAATGACTCTAAAAGCCCGAGTTTGATAAACCCCTTTTTAATGCACATCTTGGAGGTGTCGCTCAGTGCAACGCAGAGTTGTTGGAACTGAGGCAGGGTCTGGGCACCTGGCTTGACCGCTTGGGATGCGGAGAGGAGATTCCCACCTGGCTCAGTCAGAAAGCTCTAACTTTATTGACCCGGTGGCTACACAGACTGCCAAAGCTGAAGAAAGGTTTTTCTCTTCTTGCTGTTTTAGAGGAATGACATTGCCATGGCGATTACGAAGTTCGATCAGTTTGACTTCCTTATCGATATTGTTCCAAGAGATGAACTGAAGCCTCCGAAGCGGCAGGTGAGACAGAACCAACGGCCTCATCTGTCCGTGCGTTGGTGGGATTTCAGTCTCTCATGAAGAGAGTCGATAAAGCAGTACAGAATCAGATTTAAACGTGAGGTTTGGGCCACTCTTTTACATGTTTATTTACAGTAGTTTTCAGGTCCTTAAAGTTTTTTTGTTCTGTGGAAATTGAGCTTGAGTGGTGATTTACAAAAGCCTGACTTGGGGAACTACTGAAGTGACAAACATTTCTACATGTCTCTGATACCAGATGGTGCCAGTGTTAAATTTTCAGCTTCAAAAGGTGTGCTGAGTCTGCATCCTTTGACTTGTGAAGGGAGAAAAGGGCTTCTTTGCTGAGAAGTACCACCTCCTGCATGCATTGGGGCAGTCGTTGCTACTGTAAACATCCTTGACTGGAAGCTGTAAGGTGTTAGAAGGAGCTTTCAGTCGGATGTTTACAGCAGCAGGCTGCTGCGGTCACCTGAGCGTCTCCAAAACCGGTGATTCACAAAGCGTGCGTCCCCCTCCGCGTTTGAGACTTGAAAATGTAACGGGGTGGGTGGACGCTCCATCTTGCTGCTTCAGATGCACAAGGAAACAGATGCAGCTCCTGTAGGCTCATCTCCTTTGCCTAAAAACCTGGTGTTTTGCTGCTAGAAGTTCACCAGCTCGGTAATTGCTCTTCGTACGAGCTGCCCGGCAGATAAAGTGACAGATAAAGTAGATAAGGGCTGTGTTGGCGCCCCTCTTCTAGGGAACAGCTCCGTTGGACAGCGCTGCACTGTGCTTAGCAACTCCTGGATTCGTTGCCCTGGACTCAACTGGACCAAGTTCTTCACTGAGCAGTAAATTTCAGTAGCGTGTGACACCTTCTTTGACTGGTTTTGTGATGCCTGTGCAGTTTTACAGCGTGTTAGCCTTTGAAAAATCCAAGCAGATCCTTAAAATAGCTTCTCAGGGAGTGCTGCTGGAGAGCAGGAACACTGGAAAACTTCTTTCTGGCAAGTGTTGCACTTCAGTTTTTTCTTTGACGAGTGTGTTCGTATTCCAATGTGAATCTGGATAACAGGCACGAAGGTACGTGCTCCAAGCGCAGAGACCAGCGGCTCCACTGTGGACCAAGATTTTGGAGGTTGCTATTTTACTTTTTGTCTGGAAGTCCTCGTGATGCTGCTGCAGTGATGGCCGGAGGGAGGAAATACACACTTCATCCCTCTGATGGTGGCCCGGGTTGGGTTTAACCTCACACTCCGGTTTCCAGCAGCAGCATGACTTTCTGGTAGATGAGGGAAAACACCCTTCCGTGTCACAGTGGGAAGGAGTCCTGCAGGGCAGTGCGTCCTGCTGGGGTCAGCTGTGAGTGACGCCAGCGGCATCCTGAGGCTTCGTTACCGATGTGCTGGGAGCGGTACACACGGTGAGCATCACGTAGGGGAGCTCCACCGAGTTCCCTGCTTTATCCCTGCAGCCGTGCAGCGGAGGGGATTTATCCAAAGATCACTAGTTCAGTATTAAAAAGGCGCCGTGGCGGCGTGCACAGCCCCTCTCGGTGCTTTGCTTAACTGGGGGAAGGAAAAACCGAGGTGGTTTGTTCAGCTTGATGAGCTGCACCGAGGTGGCTGCAGCCTGAAGCAGCGCAGGTTGGTTCTGGCGGTGCAAGTTCGGGTCTTCCGGGCGACACGCTCAGTTACTCTGCTTTGCTGTGCTATTTTTAGAAGTACTCCATGTTTGGGAGGGAGAACGTCGCCCGTATCTTCCTTGCCGGAGCCTTTTGATTCACATCAGAATGTGATGAAAGCACGATCAGTGCTCCAATCAAACGATGCCTGAAGGATTTGAGATGCCTGTGGATCGCCAGGTTAACGTGTCTTGACGGTACCTCACACCAGAGCTGTGTCTTCAGGGCTGCGCGGCACCAGCAGTGAAACCCCGTCGGTTTTTGGGTTGGGGTGGGCTTTGGAGCTCTCCCTCGACAGTACATCCACTGCCCGTGACGCTGCCGAGTCACGAGAAATGCAGCAAACGAGGTTTGTCGGAGAAGGAGCTGCCCGGTAAGAGCGGAGGCCGGGACTCCGCAGTGGAAAATACTCGGTTGTCTCAGCAGAGCTGACAAGTGGCTGCCCGGAGGCTGACCGCGGCGCTTGTTGGCTGGGGGGTACAGTCTGTATTTTCTCTCTACCACGGAAAAGACTGTTTGACAAGTTGGTGTGGGTTACGTGGAAGAGCTGGGAATGGAACCATGACTGTTATGTTGCTCTGGTAACTAAAGCCGCGGCTGGAAAATAAGAGATGGCCAGCGATGCGATACAACCTAGTTGGAGCAGATTTGGATTTAAAGGCATCTTTGCCTGTAGCAAATGCAACTCAACCTGGAGTAGATGCTTACAGAAGTACTCGGTTGCCTTAATTGTTTCAGGATTCAGCTAGGAATTGAGGCTCTAGGAGCTCGGATGGGAGTAGTGCTCTAGGAAGAATGTGTGAAGGACTGGGCTTTACACAGTCGCAGCTCTTCTGTGTCTGCGGATTTATGGTTAACTGGAGGCACCTCCCGTTGAATATATGTACATTGAATTTGTTATCAATCCCTTCCCGAAGGATTTGATGAAGTGAGTGGGAGTAATCAGTGACCTACCGTCTGTAGGAAGTACCGTGTTTGCCTGCAGCGGCTCGCAGCCCCGTGGGACAGCGCTCGTGTTTGCTCAGAGCCCGGCGCAGAAGTCGGTTCTTGATGTTACCGCCAACGGTGAACACCTCTGGGGGGTAATTTTGTGGTAGGCTACAGAGGAACTTCCCAGCAGTCACTCTTTTCTTTAGTCCTGTCCCTGGGAGACCAAGCGAAGGGCTCTTCCTCAAGCTGCTGCCCACCCAGACAGTCCATGGATCTGGTTTAACGGGAATTTTTCTTTCCCTGTCCAGTTGGCTAGACTGAAGGCAACCCACGAGCAGATCCTGGAGTGCAGGGGAATGGAGCAGACTGGTGTAAGTGGGAACCTACCATGCTGTAGCACGTGTAAACATCCTACACTCTCAGCTGTGAACTCGAGGTGGCTGGGAGAGGATTGTTTACGCCTTCTGCCATGGAGTGAACGTCGGGTGAGCTGTGTCGTCCAGAGGGGCAAGAGCCCACTGCTCCTCTGGGGAGCTTAAGAATCTTGATTCGCGAGCGTTAAGGGCTTGCCACTTAACGTAATCTCTGAAAATCTACTTCTTTGCCTAAAATCCCATTAACCGTAAGGGGCTTTTCTCTCCTAAAGATGTGCTTAGATAGAGCAGAACAGCAGCAGCACATCCTATGCGCCTGACAGTGAGCTAGAGAAGGGCCTTTCGTCTCTTCACGCTGTGGAGACGTTCCTGCGCCCAGCAGAATCGGGCTGCGAAGCCACGGTACCAGATGAAATTGTTACAGTTCTGCAAAATCTGGGCTTAAAGAAAGAACGGAAGGTACAACGATTTCAATACAGGCGCGACATCTACGTCAAGTCTGTGAGTTTTATTCCCAGGGGTTTAACAGCAGAGCCAGGTTACGATCTGCCTGGAGCACGTAGGCTAAGGAGAGGGGTTTGTTGACAGCTGAGGCTTTCTAAGTCTTCCTGGTGCATTTGCAATTCATCCTGTGTGAGGGTAACAGGCGCTGATGGAATTTATGGAGGAGGAGTTGCGTGGATTTCCACTGTGGTAATTGTATTCATTTCCTTCTCCTAATGAAGGGGGTAACTGCGTTATTACACGCGGAGTATTGGCAACGCTCTGGATTTCCGTGTAGCTGAATAAATGAGGAAACCCGTTCTGAGTTAGCATTTTGGGTTTGCATTAGTTAAGCTGTTATGAGTGAGGTATTAAGGACACATTCCCGTGGAGCGTGCTTACGGGGGGCTGTTCCAGCTGTGCCTTGGATTGAGCTGTTCTCTCCCCGTTTCCCTGTGCCGCAGGAAGAGGTGCGTCAGGCTGTGACCCCCGCCGAGCCCGTACAGTATTACTTCACGCTTGCTCAGCAGCCTGCCGCAGTGCAGGTTCAGGGCCAGCAGCAAGGCCAGCAGACCACCACGTCGACCACCACGATCCAGCCAGGACAGATCATCATCGCCCAGCCGCAGCAAGGGCAGGTGAGCAGCGGCACGGGGGCTTTGCGGCTCAGCGGAGCCGGTGAAACCCTCGACTCGCCTCGGTGTAACGTCTTGCCGTAGCCTCGCTGCTGAGCACAGTCGGTGACAGTGCAGAAAGGGGTTTCCGGGTCGTGACCGGGTGTTCAGATACCTTGGCAACAAGGCTTGTCTAGGGCCTGTCTAGGTCCTGCGTTCCCTTTGTGGGGATTTAAGCATCAACAAGCGGCAGTGAGTCTAGGAAATCAGTCTATCTGTTACAATCGTTGTGTTTTGTGGTTGTTTCACCCATCCTCACGTGGTTCTTGTCCCTGTTCCGAATGCAGAGCACCCCTGTTACGATGCAGGTGGGAGAAGGGCAGCAGGTGCAGATCGTGCAGGCCCAGCCGCAAGGACAGGCGCAGCAGGCGCAGGGTGGGACCGGGCAGACCATGCAAGTCATGCAGCAGATCATCACCAACACCGGCGAAATCCAGCAAATACCGGTAAGGCTTCAGCGGGAGAGGTGTAACGGTCTCCTGCGCAGAGTGTCCGCTGGTGTTCTGGCATGAGGCTCGCCGTGTCTGCTGCTTTAACTGCAAGAGGAACTTTGGATTGAGTGGTGTTTCCTGCCCTTAGCGAGGAAAACTAACCAGGTGTGAACGAAGGGGGAAATAAATCTCACCCATCCAGCGTAGACGCACTGCCCACTCGCAACACTTTCCCCAGAGCAAAACAGTTAGGATTAGGAAGCAATAAATAAAGCGTTTCCTGGACAGACCTTAGTTCTTCACCGCCGCGTGGTTTCGGTGAAGCACGATCGACTTCTTTGGTCTTTCCTTGCTTCTGCCTCTGCGATCTGAACTCGGGACCTGGCAGACCGAGCGGGAAAGGTGCCATCTGTGAGTCATTAATAACTTCTGTGTTCTAAGAACTGTTCCTACAAAATACTCAGAGCTGGTTGGAGGAATGGCGTTGCAGAACCAGAAAATAGCTCCTCCCTTTCGCATCACTACAGACCCGCTGTGGCCTTAAGAATGGCCT